CATGCTGTTTGGATCTTCAGTTTAGTAACTAACAGCATATATTGTCTTGCATTGATCTTGAATCTTTGATGTTTTTTATGCTTGAATATACAACAATACTATAAGCCCTTTAAGGGTAAAGCTCAGTATATTTGTTCAGTTAATCAATATTTGCTCAGCACTACTTTGCACCACATCATAACTGTGGGAAAAACAAATATGTATAAATAAGAAAAGATTCTTGCTCTTAAGGAGCTCACACATTTTGCTACTCTGAAATGGAATAATAATCTCTTTCTGAAAAGCATTTAGCATAGTGCCAGACACATAGTAAGTCTTCTATAAATGGATGCCATTATTAGTAATTATTTCTCTGAGACTGGTTAGAAGAGTGGGAAGTAGTAATAAGAACTGAGAAAGGAAGTTGCCACTGTTAAGATGCTTTTGGAAGCAAGTAACAGAAAACCCAACTCAAATGGCTTAAACAGTAAAGGGGATTTATTGGCTTTCCTCACTGGAAAAGTCTAGAGGTAGAGTAATGATTGGTGATGATTCAATCAGGGCTTTGGCTGTGTCTTTTTGTGATTCTTTTGGAACTACTCTCCCCCCATGTGCTGGCTTTATCCTCAGGCTGGTAGCAAGATGACTATAGTAACTCTAGGCTTCACATTTACATACAACATCCAGAGAAAGAGAGAACTCATATCTTCTGGTGGCTTTCTTTATGGTGAGGAAACTTCTTTCCTCTATGCCCCAGCAAACCTCCCTTCTCATTTCAGTGTACCAAATGAGTCCCAAGCCTTTTTCTCAACCAATTCCTTGGCCATGGAATGCCCTGGACTGCTTGGTTTAGGCTCCAGGTTCCTGATCCAGTATTGGTAAAAGGATGAGATTACTATGCCATTTAGGGTGGTCTTCTACTGCAGTAACAAGCAACCCCCAGATCACAGTGGCTATTTAATACAGCTAAAATTTGTTTCTTTCTCTTACTTCATGCGTGTGTGTAGGTCGGTAGGGGGAGCTCTACCATTATGGTCACCCTGGGACCCAGGCTGATGGAGGCTTCCTCTTGACACAGGCTTCAGCAATCACCATAGCAGATGGAAGGGGACCTGGTGAATCATACACTAGCTTTTAAAGGCGTATGCCTGGAAGTGATATATACCATTTCTGTTCATGTTTTATTGGCCAAAGCAAGTCACATGGCTACCCTTAACTTCAACAAGCTGGGAAATGCAATTCTACCATGTATCTAGGAGAACTAGAATATTTATGAATAGCCCCAATTACTACCATAATTACCCTTGGCACAATCAGGATCAACTATGGAGATGACCATAGAGTTAGCTTCTTCTAAAGCACATGTACTACCTTGGGAAGGAGATCCCTTAGTAAAACTCAGGTGTTATTAGGAAGGGAGCAATGGAGCTGAGTAGACAACCAATGATGTTTATTATAGAAGTTGTATGAAGGCAAACTGATCTCAGACATCAAAGAAATAGAAAAAGCAAGATCATGAACAGACTGGAAAAGTTAGAGGAAAACAGAAGCAACTACTGTTAAGAATGTAGCCACTTAGAGATGTGCACAGCAGAAAGGGCCCAGATGAACATAGGCAGCAAGGCCAACAGTGATGAGGTAGTATCTTTGCTGCTGCACTTGCCAGGCTGGGAGTGGGAGCATAAAAAAGCAGACCTGGAAGATACGTAGGAATGATGGATGATTTGAAGAACTTTGTGGGAGGTCTTGGGTTGTGGAAGTTAAAGACTTGAAGTCAAGAGGTTCTCAAACGGGCAGCACAGCCAAAATCATAATATAAACTCAAACAAGAATCATATTTTTAAACTGAGACTTTGAAAAGTAATCTATAACAGTAACAAAGACTTGTGGTAGGTGGTACAGACAGACGAAATGGAATCCAAATAATGCAAAATGGAGAACAGCCAATCTGAAAGAGATACTGAAACGCAGATGAGGCTTTCTGCCCCACTGGGCCTTATGGGTATTGCAGAAAAGTCTCCAAGGGAGAAGGCAGTGTAAGTTTACATTAGAGCTGTGTTTCTACCCAGGGGAGCCAACATAATATAAAAGAAAGAACTCTAGATCTGCAGTCAGGAAAATCAAGTTTGAGTCCCAGCAGTGACTATAAATAGCTTTATATGGGCAAATTATCATAAACTTCTTTTGACTTGTTTCCTCAGCTAAAAAGAGGGGATAATGCTTTCTCTATCTTCCTTGGAGCTTTGTGTGAAACTCAAATGAAATAGAAAAGCCCCTTGACAGACTAAATGGCCCCAGGGTATCTATGAAATTATAATACTGGCATGGGTCAGCAGGAGAAGTGGAGAAGGTCAAGAATAGAGGCAGATGCTATCACCAATTAAATAGGGCCCAGAGGGAAAGACACAAGAGAGATATCAGTGGGCTGGCAGGCATTGCTTGGTCAATTCTTTTAATTGCAAGGGATAGAAACCCAACTCAAATCGGCCTGAGAATAAAATAAAATGTATTGACTCACCTAACAGAAACAATTGAAAGGGTAAAATGGCTTCAAGTGTGGCAGGATTCAGGTGCTCAAGTGTTATGGTTGGAAGTCTGCTTCTAGTCTCTGCCTTCCACTGTACTGGTTTCATTCTCAGGCATGTTGTCCTCAAAAGGTGACAAAGATTGCCCCCAGTAGCTATCAGTTATGTTCCACCAGCTTAGTAATCCTTGCAGAGAGAGTGCCTTTTTCTCGTCTTAACTCTCATTGTCTGGCCTGGATCCTGTACCCTTCTCTGAGTCAATCACCATGACAGCCGTCAAGCCCAGCTGAATCACATGGATGGAGAGTGGGGAAGAAATGCAAACTGTGGGGGAGCAAATGAAAACCACCCATACCCACCACAGGATGCAGGCTTAAAAGGCTTACTCCAGAAGCGATGATTGAGGAGAAGAGGATGCTGAACAGAGGAGGGACGAAAATCAAAGGAGCGGCAGAGGGAGAGTTTCACTCACGGAGAAAGGCACATTTAAAAAGGACTCCCCATGTGCACTTTGGGGAATGGAGCGGTGGTGTAGGGAGACAGATGCTGCAGCAGATAGCTGTGAGTCAAAGAAGGGGAGGACAGCAAGGACACATTTAAGAATTCGCAAAGTGGCCCAATACACTCTTTGAGAAATAGTAGTTTAGGAGGGAAAAGGAACCACTGTCACATCCTTTCAGTTATTTCTGTGCTTGGTGGGTGTTTTTGTTCCTAACTGTTGGTGGCAGCGGGGGCGAGAGGGGTAGGAAGCCTGCGTCAGTAGGAAGGATCTAGACAGCTAGATGATGCCAGAGACGTGGACCTTTGAGATGCCTGGAACACAGCAATAATGTTATAGCTTAATGAGTCTCAGTGGAAAAAGTAGCAAAGAAATTATCACTAAATTTACTAGAAGTTACAGCCTGTCAAAGAGATGTGAAATGTGACTGACATACACCGCACGGTAGGTCCTTCTCCACCCACACTAAACATAAAGGCCCACCCTGTCTTGCCTTTTTTCCCCGCCCTCCTACATACACATAATACCTGCACACAGGCACATAGCAGCAGGGAATGATTCTCCTGGAACATTGTCAGAGTCATTCTTTAGACCTCCCAGGTAGGTTACTACCCTGAAATGAAAAGCCGCCAGCCTCTAATTTTCGAAGCTGGTAGAATAGCGCTGATTAAAGTTGACTCCATACTGAGCAAATACTGTGAGGGGCAATTTAGTTCTGGATCCATCCTCTGGATGCTAACAATTGCCATCATCGCCACCCTTAATATTGTTACAGTTCCAAGCATATTCAAACAGAAGGGCCTTACCTCCCTGCTTAACTGAATGAAAACATTAGCCCACTTCTGACCCTGGGCTTGAAGACTTGACTATGTGACAGAGAATTAGAGAGATCAGTTCCAGGTTAGGGTGCTGGAAGGTCAGGATGAATCCGTATTATGACTTGGAGTCAGAATCCCAGGAATAAATGTAAAGGGCAACTTAAGAGAACCTAATTCCTTCAGGGGGTGGGTTGGGGACATAAAACAAAAAGACCCTCCAGAACTCCTGAATTCTTATCTCATGTGCACAATTTCTATTAATCTGTCCTCTGTAGTTATGGCCAAGAAAGCTTCTCTGGTCACAAACCCTAGAGTTCTGGTATTCTCTGTTGACTCTCACATCCAAAACAAACATCTTGTACTATTCCCCACTGAATGACAGCAGTTACTGCACACAGTGCAGGAAGAGGTATTACTTTAAAAAGAAATAGCACATAAACATAGAATTCCCATATGATCCAGCAATTCCTAGGTACATACCCCTCAAAACTCAAAATAAGTGCTCAAATACTTGTACACAATGTCCATAGCAGTGCTATTCACAATAGTCAAAATATGGAAACAACCTATATGTCTATCAATAGCTGAATGGATAAACCAATTGTGGTATATACATAAAATGAATATTATTCCAGAAAAAGGCATGAAATATTCATACATGCTACCATATGTGTAAACCTCAAAAACATACTAAGTGAAAAAAGCTAGACATAAAAGGTCACATACTGTATGATCCCATTTATATGAAATATTCAGAATAGGTAAATCCATAGAAACAAAGATGGTTTATCCTTGCCAAGGAGTGGGGGGGAGGGAAGAATGGGGAACAATTGCTTAATGGGTACTGGGTTTTCTTTTGGGGTGATGAAAGTGTTTTGGAACTGAACAGAGATGGTGATTATACAATATTGTGAATATTCTAAATGCCACTGAATCATTCACTTTAAAATGGTTAGTTTTATGTCATGTGATTTTCAGTACAATTTTTTTTAAAAAAGCAGGGCATACTGATTTAGCTAGCATATATATTTATCATCTTAAACCCTCCCTTCTTTCTAGCTGAAGGTGAAGGGGGATCAGCCATTATCAAGCAACAAGCATTTCCCAAAGGAGCCTGAACATAAAGACAAAAGGAACCTGGGTCTTTGATATCATGAAGGCAACCACAGAATCACCATTTTTATGAGAAAAATAAAACCCCTAGTTGATTTAAAAATGAAATAGCACAATCTTTGTTCTTTACATATTTCCTCTTTAAAGAACACTCTTAACATAGACTAGATGAACAAAATTATGCGCAAGCCTTGGCTAGACGTTTTTGCTAAATGTACTTTTGGTTAGGTGGCTTCACCAGTTGCTGGGAAAATGTCCTTTGCTGCACAGGTCAGCACTCACCATCTGTAGACACTCCAAACAGGAAGTTCTGGACAGATAATTAATACAAAAGAGCATCAGACATTAGGTATACAAGTAATGACAGAAATTGAATATGGCAGCCCTTTATGTAAGGGACATAGTTTACTCTTGGCCTGAAGAAGCTGACACTTAATTGTTTATTCATTTAACAAATATGCACTGATGGCTACTTACTACGTGCCAGGCACTGAGCCAGGGGTATGACCTGGAATACTACAGTGAGCAAGAAAGATAAAACTCCTGCTCTCATGGAGCTTATGTTCCAGCAGGGAGGGAGGAGGAAGATAGACAATAAACACATGAGAAATTTAACACATATATTAATACAAAGCATACAGATCAACATGTTGGGTTTTCAACTCTCCTCTGATTTAGGACTGGCTCTTAGCTCCTCCATCTCTGGCATGGCTTGGCAGGGTGTTCAGGATCCTCAGATACCCAGAAGTCAGCAGCTTTTTCCATATGACACCACAGGTCTCAGTAATTAAAAACTTTTCAGTTCCTTGTTACTATTGCTGCCAGTTTCCCTCCATTCCATCCTACTCCAGAAAAAAGGCAAGTGAACAAAACAGACCACCCCAACCACCCCTAACCCTCTCCAAAAGGGGAAAAAATAAACCAGAAGCAAAATCCATTATTGTTCTCCAAAACAAAGAGCCTACAAACAAAACAAAGCCTAACTTTCTGGTAGAAGCTGACGGAGGAGAGAAGAGTGGGCACAGTATTCAGGTAAAAAACATTTAGGAGGAAAAATGCAAATAATCATTAAATACAATACATACGGTTATACATGTTAACTGTAGCATCTGAAGAAAATGCCCTAGATCAGTGCTAACCAATAGAAATATACTGCGAGCTACAAATGTGAGCCATTTATGCTGTTAATGCTGTTAGAACTATTAAATGTTCTAATAGTCATATTAAAAGAAGTAAAAAGAAATAGGTGAAATTATTTTCCATAGTATACTTTCTATAACCCAACCTATCTACAGCATTCTTTTCAACATATAATCAATATAAAAATTAAGATACCTTACATTATTTATTCCCATGCGGTCTTCAGAATTCAGCATATACATTTGCATAACATCTGAATTCGAATTAAATAATAGCCACAAGTGGCTTGTGGCAACCTTGTTGGACAGTGTAGCCCTAGAGAAAGTGCTCACTAAATTCCTTTTTCCATGGACATTACAGCTAATGGCTCCCAGAATTAAAGCCTCTAGATGTCTCCTTGGCTGTGCCTTAGAAGATATATTCCAGCACTCCCTCCTGATAGTCCTGGAGACACAGCCCTAGTACCAAGTTCCATGAGTGAGCATAATTAACTGATTTGCCATTCAGGTAGTGTCAGGTGTGGTTAGGGAAGAGTTGTCCTGGTTCTTTGGCTCCTTGCTTGGAACAACTGCAAGCAGGGCTGGTATGACGGAGCGATGACAGACACGAAGCACTTCCACACAAGCAGCTTTTATTGCAAAGCGAAAGTAAGGTCTAGAGAGAGGAACAGGTCAGTCCCCAGGAGTGGAGAGACCCTGAGCTTAAAGACACAGTGTAGAAAGTATAGCCTCATCCCAGGGTTAGGGTCTGTCCTTTATGCTAATCCCTAATATGTTAAGCGGGGGGTGGGGGGTGGAATATTCATATTTTTTTAGTAAGTGGGTGAAGATTCCCTGAATCATGTACCCTCCCAATTCAGTCCTTGTATGCCTGGTTCCGGAACTGTCATGGCACTAGGAGTTGTGAGTTTTGCTATGTCAGTGAGGGAAAGGTTACCTTTGGTCATAAGCTCCTAGCTTCTGCGCATGCTCCCTGTCAGGAAAAGTCCCTAACCTTAAGTTCTTGCTGTTGTGGTTTCTTTTCTGTTTTTATTGGTCCCGACACTTGGCCCTTGACCACATCCCCCTAACGCTTGCCCTGCCACGTGCATATCCATATCCCTACTACCAGTAGGAACAAAATGATAAGCCTTAGTGAAAAAAAGTCTATGTTCTCTTTGTGTCAATTCTGTCTGTGCATCCATTTGACATTTATTGAGAGCCTACTATGTACCAGAACTCTATCTGCCCTCAAGGAGCTCATAGTCTTTTGGGGGAGTAGTGGGTGGACATAAAAAAATCAAATAAGAAAAAACACGTTCATTTCAAATAATAATTTTGCTGTGAAGAAACTAAAACATATGATAGTGAATGTTAGAGATTACTTTACATAGTAAGCTATCGATAGAGAAGGCTGGCTTCTCTGAGGTGGCATTTAAGCTGAGAATGAAATAACAGGGACAAGAATAGAGAAAAGAGCTAGGGCAAAGACCTAAGGCAGGAAAAAGGTTGGCATATTTGAGAAACAGAATGTCAATATGGTTAGAGTAGTTAACAAGGAGATTTGTAAGAGATGTAGGTTGCCAGGGGCCAGACCACATGGGACCTATTAAAAAGAGTAAGAAGTCTGGATGTTATTCCAAGACAAATCAATGAAGGGTTTTAAGCAGTGGAGTAAAATCATCTAATTTACATTTTTTTAAAAAATCCCTCTATGGGGAGAAAATGGTTAAAATCCCTGTGTAAAGGGGCGGGGACATAAGAGTGGGAGTGGGGAGAACAGCTGGAGGCTGCTGCAGCCAGCAAGAGAGTTGATGTGGCTGAGAGTAGGGTGATAGTGGTGGAATAATGAGGTCAGATTTAGAATGTATTTTTAATTTATCAGCAAGTCCTGCCAGCTCTACCTTCAAAATTAAGTTATATAAATTAGATTATATTTTGAGTCTGACAAGACTTGCTCAAAATTGGTTATAGGATGGAAAAAGAAAGGATGGCCAACTATTAAGACTTTTGGCTTGAGCTTGTAGATATAATAGTGGTGCCATTTGCCGAGTCTAGAAAAAAGAGTAAAACTTGCTCCTCCTCCTGTATTTCCAATCGTGGTGGATGGAACCTCCATCCAGCTAAAAACCTGAGCTTCATCCAAGACACCGCCCTATCCAAACAGTCACCGAATCCCATTAATTCTACCTCCCCAATTTCTCAAATCTGTCCGCACCTTTCCATCCTCACTGACTTGGACAGGTCTTTAGACCAAATTACTCACCAAGCCTACTAACATGGCCTTAATAATCTCCAGGTTTAAACTTCAATCCAGTATCAATACTATAGTTCCTCTGCTTAAAATTACCAATCTTTTTGAAGAGCAATTTCAGTATCTATCAAAGTTTAAAATAGACATATCCTTTATTTCTTTTATGATTCTAACCTATATAAAGAATGAAATTATGAGGGTAAATTCATTACAGAACTGTAACAGTGAAAAACTGGACACAACCTACATATCCATCAAGAAGGGAATTACTATAAAAACATTATACAATTATAAAATTCCATCTAGTTCTTATTTTTAAAAAATGAAGATCTAAATATACTGAACAGAAATCTAAGTTACTTAAAAAGCAAATAGTAATGTCTATGATTTCTTTCATTTATGTAGAAAGCACAGAAGTGTGTGTGTGTGTGTGTGTGTGTGTGTGTGTGTGTGTGTCTGGTTTCTGAAGGCCTAGAAAAGGTCTGGGAAGATACACATTCAACTATCAACAATGGTTACTTCAGGGTAGTAAGATGGAGGTAAGCTAGGGAGTTTTCATTTTTTACTATATGTATTTCTTATTGGATGAATTTTTATAAATGAATACTTACATCAAAAAACCCTGTACAACCATCAGGTATACCTTAACAATTCAAGGCATTTTAGGACCTGGCACCAGAGCCTTCTTTCCAGACTAATTTTTCAGGATTATTTACATTAGGTAGGCAGTAAGGTACCTTTGTATTGTGGGAAATGTGGGTTGACTGTTGAGGCTGGGTTGTACACTAAGCCTACTTGTTTTGCAACTGGAATAGGAAAGACTGCCTCTGGTACTCAGGAGGACGTGAAGCTCTTTTTGAAGAGAAGCTAAGGTACCTGTTCCTGCATGTGTGGGCATACCAGAATTAGTTCATTCCTTTAGTTCTTCAAGGAAGATGTAAGATTTCATGACTCTTTCCCCTTCCCAGGCCATTTTGGTTTTACATGTTTTAAGAGTACCTGTACTTATCTTGTTCATAGTTTATTTTGCTTCTTTTATAGCAGAAAAAGCCAACAGAATAGACAGTAAATTTACCATAGTGCCAGTTCCTTTCTGAAAATCTTCCTGTTTTCCCTAAGAGATGTTTAGATATTAAAAAAAAAAAAAAAGAAGAAGTGATAGCAGCCCAGCTCTGCTAGAGATAATACACATAAAATAGTTTTGGTAGAAACAAAATGTTAAACAAATAGAAGGTGGAATTATACTAAATTCTAAATTTTTATATTTCTTTCTTGTCATTCTCTACTTACTTTTTTAAAACTTGGGAATAAAGAGAACAAGACAGTACCTATGTAAGTCTTTCTATGGTAGTCCTGTCTAGGAAGCCTGTCATAGAGCCAACAGGGTAGAAGAAAATGAACTGTTCTTCCCAATCTTGTTTCCATTCAATGTTCAGTTGTCTCAAAAAATACAAAAAAGTTAAGAAATATTCAATTATTTCTCCTTCAACCAGATGACTAGAAATGAAGTACCTTGGCAAGATGAGGAAGGAGAAACATAATTAGCTATTGTTTATGTTGTAGTTTGCTACCACCTCAATCCTAAACCTGCCAGCTCCCCACCCCACCTGACCCCCATTGGTCCCTCAACTAATAAATACATACTTGAATTGCTCTAGCGTTTTAGAAGACTGTTTTGTTTTTGGTTATTATTTGGCTTTATTTCAAAATGTATTATCTACCACCATAAAATATTAGAGCAAGAGGGAATCTTGGTGATTATAGCAAAATCCTCTCATTGACAGTTGAGAAACTGGCCCAGAAATATAACATAACAGTGTCACAGGAAACAGTGTCTAGTTTGCTGGAGCTGGGATTAGAACCTAGTCTCCAGACTTACAGAGTATGCCAAATTGAATATTTTCTTTTAATCATTTAAATTTAATACTCCTTAAGGTGCTTGGGAAGAAAAGGGCTTCGAAATTTTAAAAAAGCTTAAAAGGCTTTAATGGCAAATAGAATGAAAGCAGTCTTCCACCAGACACAGTTTATGGATCACCTACAGCCAAGGTTGTTTATTCTTCACCCTATTTTTGGCAAAGTGTGAAGAGTGATTTTTTAGTGCTGTGGGGAAACTATTAATAGTTCCTCTTAAAGCCGGTTACCCTTTTATGCTGACTCCTAGAGGTGGAGAGATTGCTCCTTGGTTAGGGAAACATATTGATAGGCCATTGGGATATAATAGGAACTTTCAAGGCATTATTTAAAAGGAATAGGAACAAAATAAACAACTAAGTTATTTTCTCTAATACATTTAGAACTTTCCAAGGCCTTTGTAAAGAAACAAGTGATGAAGAGAAGGAAAAAGAAAGCTGAATTTTTAGTAAGATTTGAAGGCAGGCTTCTACTTGGAATGAAATCTGTGAGAATGGCTAAGAGATTCCTTAACAAGGATATATACAATCCAATCTTAGCCCTTGACTATGCAGGGCTGAGACAATAACCCCTCTTTCATTGTCCCTCTCCCCTTGGTCATTACTATAAAACTTCAGCAAAGATCTGCTACACAGACTTGTGTTGATGGTTCTGGGGGGAGTCAATACAGGTGGTACAGAGGAGATGGAAAAGCCATGGAAGCAGAGCCAGAGGACATAAGCTCCCTGCCTTCCCACAGCCCCTCAAAACAACAGTGATTTCCCAAAAGAAATGATACCAGAAGTATTCTGGCATGTTAGGATAAAAAGTTCTATTTAAATTCTAAAGGATGGTGGAAAAGTTAGGAAACCTGAGCAGCTAACACTTGAGTTACACTAACACAGTCAGTACATTCAGATAAACCAAGTTCCTGGCCATCCCTTATTATAAGCTTTGGGTGGTGACAACTCCAGTTGTCCTGGGGTCAAGAGACACTGTGTCTGCATGAATCTACCTACCTTGGGTGTGAGCCTGCCCTTTTAGAGTTCAGAGACTGATAACTGGCTGGGCTCCCATTTTTGATACTTCTGTCACTGACTGGTTTTCCTCACCAGATTGTGTCATTCAAGAGACAAATCTGTCTGAGAAAGTAATATAAACTCTATTGATTCTTATTAGCTATGTTATTGAAATAGGGGGGTAGTGTTCAAAATTTTACATATTAAATTATATTTTCCCATTAATTTTGAGTATAAATTTGGAGATATTTATCCAAGGAAATGATAAACCCAGGATTTAAAAGCCAAAAAAGAAAAAAAAAGCCCCACAAAAAATTCTAGCATCAATCTAAAAAGAGCTTGCTTTTGTCACTCTGTTTCTTTCATTCTACCAGGTCACTTCTTACATGAAATTCATTAAATGTCCGTTTGATTCTTTTTCCAAAATGGGAATATCATTTTTATTATAATAGCTTAATATCACTGTAACTTTCATCCCCAATTATATATATTTATATATGTGTATACCTACCTCATAGTTTTATTACAAAAGATTAAATTAATCAACATATGCAAAGCAGTTAAAATAGTGTCTGGTACACAGTAAGCCCTATATGTTAGCTATTTTTTCCCTTTACATTAAAAGGCTTCAGGGGCAGATAAAATTTAAGCAGTTTACCACAAGACACAAGTTATAATCACCTACAAAAAACCCTAGAAAACCTGAGTCTTATATTTAACACACTATGGATATCTTCTCACTGTTAATTGAGTGATCCTTCCACCTCAACCTCTTGAGTAGCTGGGACTACAGGTGAGCACCACTGTGCCTGGCTCACTATATTCTTTTTACTATCTTTGTGGTTTCATGAAAAATAATTTAATCACTGATTAATGCATATTTGGTGATTGTATCTATCTTTCTATTTCAAATCTTCTGCAATAAATACCCTTATTCACATTTCTGTAATCACTTGTGACATTTTTCCATAACACATACACACACAAGAACATACAGTTTTAAAAATGAAGTACATTCTAATATTAACATCTGATCATTTAAATTAACTTCTTTCTAGAATTATGAAACCTTAAAAAACAATGTTTAAAAGTTGAATAGCATCACTTCTTGAACGTTTTGGCTAACATCAAATGTGAACATCGAGATACTCCACATATATAAGATACAAACATAAAGGTCATTCTTAAGGCAACTTATTGCCAGAAAAAATTTAGATCACATACGATGCATCTATTATTATTAATAGAAATGAAATGACTAATAAGAGAAAAATGTCTTTAAATTTTTTAATGGGAAGAATATTCTTTTTAATTATGTTCTAAGATATTACAGAGCTAGAAATTAACAAATTTCAGTCAGTATAAAATAGATTTATTGTCAATAGTCAGTAATTAACACAACCCAGGTAAATGAAACATCACTTCACACAAGGCTCAGATACTCTAAAATGCTATCTTAACTTCACACGTGTAGTATAAAATGATAAATACTTAAAAATTACAATGCAAGAAAAAATATTACAAAAAATACAATTGTAATAGACCCTTGTATGAAAGTTCTTTAGTTTTAGAGTTCTGCCCTAGGGAATTAACATGCTACATATGCGAATCCAAAATAACTGTTCCTTGAGGTTACAATACTCAAAATACCACATCTGACAAGAACAAAAAGTGAGACAAAGAAAGCCTTCAATGATGCTGGGTGTGGGGACGGTGAGGGAAGAAGGGAAGGATGTAACCAATTATTCTATGTTGATTTCTGCTGGAATGGCCTCATGAAACAATTTATAGCACTGACAAGAGGACTATAGAAGAAAGGAGAAAAAACCAGGACCAGTCCCACCTCCACGTAAAGGATTTCCAAATCAGATCAAACTCAGGCAGTTCTAAGGCACTATTCCCAATGCTCTCCACTCTTTAATCCCTTATATGGACTTCTTATTCTATGTCTATGTTTTTTCTAATTTCTTCATAAGGGTTTAGCAAGCATACTTTCTGTTTTCTATCACGCAAAGTCCAAACGAAAAAGGATGAAACAAAACAACAGAATCTACCAGTTGGGTCAGTTTTAAAGACACAAATTCTGGTTCAAACATGAGACTCAGGCATATCCATCCCTGGTCCACGCACACTCCGATCTCCCCTTACAAATTGACCTCCAACCTCAATTTTGAGCAAATACTCAAATTTTGAGGAAGTTTTAGAAGTTTTTTTTCCTGTTGGCAAGTTGCTTTGGCTGGCAGCAATATAAGGAATTATTCGGAATGCTTGGTTAGAGCTGATAAAAAAGGATGTGATCAGTGAATTATTGTAATCTATCGTAGTAGGCTTCTGCAGGCAGACAGGAAGAATTTACACTATGGACTTTCCTCACTCATTTCAGAAGAGAGAGAAATGTCTTTAAAAGGAAAGGAAAAGATTAGATAAGGAAATACAGTAAAATATTAATACTGTAGTAATAGAAGGGAAGGGAATGCTTATAGCCAACCTACCTTACCTTGCTGGAAAGTTTCTGACATAGAAATTAAACTTTCTCTCCATTATTCTTTGCACAAAGTTACAGGTGCTTTACATCAAGAATGACAGAAAGCTATTTAAACACTTTGTTTCAAAGGTGGGGAATTTCATTTTGAAATGAGCATTAGAGAAAGAAGGAAAAGGTAGGGATAGCTCACTCAAAAAGGTCCTCAAACATGCGTTGTCCCATTGCTATGTATGCTTCCTTTTCTTCTGGTGTCATCTGGGCCACCAGCTCTGGCCGTTGGCTCACTTCACTGTAGGAGAATGGACGGCCAGCCACCATGACAGTGGGGTCATCTGCTACTTCTTCAAACTCATCGTCATCCTCCTCATCCTCTTCCCGATGATGCGTAGCCACAGCTGCTGGACGAGGTGGAGAATCTTCATCTGACTCACTGGTCTCACTCTCTGAGTCACTGCCATTGGCGGTGGTCACAGGAGCGGCCGCCCCCACTGAAGCAGCTGCGGCAGAAGGAGTCTTCTTCTCATGAATAAGCAGCGCTCGCATGACCTCCTCATTATCATCCGGCCCTGCACGGCCTTCCTCACGCTCCTGAAATGCATCCATATCTATGCCACCTGGGGAGTAAAACTCAGAAAGTCAGGATCCTTAAATATAAATGGTATTCCTTTATAACTAATAAAATAGGATTTTAATATATTTAAATATATAATAATCTAATAAAATAACACAGACTTCACTAATTCCATTTTTTGAGCTGCTGTCCATAAGATATTCAAATGTTTCTTACAACTGGAGCTTAAATAGCATAATGGTTAAATACATGGGTTTTAAGAGTAATATAGCATGGATTTGAATCCTGGTTCTTCTATATGCAAGCTGTACCAACCATGGGCAAGTAAGTTATCTCTAAACCTCAATACTTTTTTTCTGTAAAATGGGGTTATAAAAGCATCTCTATTCTAAGGCTTTGGATAAGAACATAAGAAATAATGTCTATAAAGGACTAAGTACAGTAGCTTGTATAATAGTAAATCAAAACATGGCTCCTCATCTTGCTCAGAGTAAAACCCAAAGGCTTTACAGTGGCCTATAAGGTCCTACACATCATCGGGAACCCTTCCTGACTACCTACCTCTTACTTCTTGCTCATTCTGCTCCAGCCACAGTGGCCTCTGTGGACTCCTACTTCACAGCCTTTATATGGTCTGTTCCCTCTGACTGGAATATTTTTCCTCTAGGTATCCATACAGCTCTGGCCATTGGCCAGTATCTCTTATTAGGAGTTCTACACTTTCCAAAATGTCCAGGGTTACAGCTAATTCATTCTAATGTACTAATGTCTTCTACTTCTCATGTTTTTACTCAAATGTTGCCTTCTTTTAATTCACCCCATCCTTACATTTCCAATGGCTCTATTTTTTTTTTCCCCATAGCACTTAATTTCTAACATAATAAATAACTTATGTCCACTGTTTTTGTAACCCTCTTTCCAAGGATGTAGGTTCTACCACAACATACATTAATGTTTTTTCACATGATGGATATTCTTCTCCACTGTAATGAGTGATCCTTCCACCTCAACCTCTTGAGTAGCTGGGACTAAAGGTGAGCACACTGTGCCTGGCTCACTATATCTTTTTACTATCTTTTGTGGTTCATGAAAAATAATTTAATCACTGATTAATGCATATTTGGTGATGTATCTATCTTTCTATTTCAAATCTTCTGCAATAAATACCCTTATTCACTTTCTGTAATCACTTGTGACATTTCCATAACACATACACACACAAGAACATACAGTTTTAAAATGAAGTACATTCTAAAATTAACAATCTGATCATTAATTAACTCTTTCTAGAATTATGAACCTTAAAAAACAATGTTTAAAAGTTTAATAGCATCACTTCTTGAACGTTTTGGCTAACATCAAATGGAACATCTGAGATACTCACATATATATAGATACAAACATAAAGGTCATTCTTAAGCAACTTATTGCCAGAAAAATTTAGATCACATACGATGCATCTATTATTATTAATAGAAATGAAATGACTAATAAGGAGAAATGTCTTAAATTTTTTAATGGGAGAATATCTTTTTAATTATGTTCAAGATATTACAGAGCTAGAAATTAACAAATTTCAGTCAGTATAAAATAGATTTATTGTCAATAGTCAGTAATTAACACAACCCAGGTAAATGGAAACAACACTTCACACAAGGCTCAGATACTCTAAATGCTATCTTAACTTCACACGTGAGTAAATGATAAATACTTAAAATTAAATGCCAAGGGGGAAAAATAAAAAAAAAAAAAAAAAAGAAGTGATAGCAGCCCAGCTCTGCTAGAGATAATACACATAAAATAGTTTTGGTAGAAACAAAATGTTAAACAAATAGAAGGTGGAATTATACTAAATTCTAAATTTTTATATTTCTTTCTTGTCATTCTCTACTTACTTTTTTAAAACTTGGGAATAAAGAGAACAAGACAGTACCTATGTAAGTCTTTCTATGGTAGTCCTGTCTAGGAAGCCTGTCATAGAGCCAACAGGGTAGAAGAAAATGAACTGTTCTTCCCAATCTTGTTTCCATTCAATGTTCAGTTGTCTCAAAAAATACAAAAAAGTTAAGAAATATTCAATTATTTCTCCTTCAACCAGATGACTAGAAATGAAGTACCTTGGCAAGATGAGGAAGGAGAAACATAATTAGCTATTGTTTATGTTGTAGTTTGCTACCACCTCAATCCTAAACCTGCCAGCTCCCCACCCCACCTGACCCCCATTGGTCCCTCAACTAATAAATACATACTTGAATTGCTCTAGCGTTTTAGAAGACTGTTTTGTTTTTGGTTATTATTTGGCTTTATTTCAAAATGTATTATCTACCACCATAAAATATTAGAGCAAGAGGGAATCTTGGTGATTATAGCAAAATCCTCTCATTGACAGTTGAGAAACTGGCCCAGAAATATAACATAACAGTGTCACAGGAAACAGTGTCTAGTTTGCTGGAGCTGGGATTAGAACCTAGTCTCCAGACTTACAGAGTATGCCAAATTGAATATTTTCTTTTAATCATTTAAATTTAATACTCCTTAAGGTGCTTGGGAAGAAAAGGGCTTCGAAATTTTAAAAAAGCTTAAAAGGCTTTAATGGCAAATAGAATGAAAGCAGTCTTCCACCAGACACAGTTTATGGATCACCTACAGCCAAGGTTGTTTATTCTTCACCCTATTTTTGGCAAAGTGTGAAGAGTGATTTTTTAGTGCTGTGGGGAAACTATTAATAGTTCCTCTTAAAGCCGGTTACCCTTTTATGCTGACTCCTAGAGGTGGAGAGATTGCTCCTTGGTTAGGGAAACATATTGATAGGCCATTGGGATATAATAGGAACTTTCAAGGCATTATTTAAAAGGAATAGGAACAAAATAAACAACTAAGTTATTTTCTCTAATACATTTAGAACTTTCCAAGGCCTTTGTAAAGAAACAAGTGATGAAGAGAAGGAAAAAGAAAGCTGAATTTTTAGTAAGATTTGAAGGCAGGCTTCTACTTGGAATGAAATCTGTGAGAATGGCTAAGAGATTCCTTAACAAGGATATATACAATCCAATCTTAGCCCTTAACTATGCAGGGCTGAGACAATAACCCCTCTTTCATTGTCCCTCTCCCCTTGGTCATTACTATAAAACTTCAGCAAAGATCTGCTACACAGACTTGTGTTGATGGTTCTGGGGGGAGTCAATACAGGTGGTACAGAGGAGATGGAAAAGCCATGGAAGCAGAGCCAGAGGACATAAGCTCCCTGCCTTCCCACAGCCCCTCAAAAGAACAGTGATTTCCCAAAAGAAATGATACCAGAAGTATTCGGGCATGTTAGGATAAAAAGTTCTATTTAAATTCTAAAGGATGGTGGAAAAGTTAGGAAACCTGAGCAGCTAACACTTGAGTTACACTAACACAGTCAGTACATTCAGATAAACCAAGTTCCTGGCCATCCCTTATTATAAGCTTTGGGTGGTGACAACTCCAGTTGTCCTGGGGTCAAGAGACACTGTGTCTGCATGAATCTACCTACCTTGGGTGTGAGCCTGCCCTTTTAGAGTTCAGAGACTGATAACTGGCTGGGCTCCCATTTTTGATACTTCTGTCACTGACTGGTTTTCCTCACCAGATTGTGTCATTCAAGAGACAAATCTGTCTGAGAAAGTAATATAAACTCTATTGATTCTTATTAGCTATGTTATTGAAATAGGGGGGTAGTGTTCAAAATTTTACATATTAAATTATATTTTCCCATTAATTTTGAGTATAAATTTGGAGATATTTATCCAAGGAAATGATAAACCCAGGATTTAAAAGCCAAAAAAGAAAAAAAAAGCCCCACAAAAAATTCTAGCATCAATCTAAAAAGAGCTTGCTTTTGTCACTCTGTTTCTTTCATTCTACCAGGTCACTTCTTACATGAAATTCATTAAATGTCCGTTTGATTCTTTTTCCAAAATGGGAATATCATTTTTATTATAATAGCTTAATATCACTGTAACTTTCATCCCCAATTATATATATTTATATATGTGTATACCTACCTCATAGTTTTATTACAAAAGATTAAATTAATCAACATATGCAAAGCAGTTAAAATAGTGTCTGGTACACAGTAAGCCCTATATGTTAGCTATTTTTTCCCTTTACATTAAAAGGCTTCAGGGGCAGATAAAATTTAAGCAGTTTACCACAAGACACAAGTTATAATCACCTACAAAAAACCCTAGAAAACCTGAGTCTTATATTTAACACACTATGGATATCTTCTCACTGTTAATTGAGTGATCCTTCCACCTCAACCTCTTGAGTAGCTGGGACTACAGGTGAGCACCACTGTGCCTGGCTCACTATATTCTTTTTACTATCTTTGTGGTTTCATGAAAAATAATTTAATCACTGATTAATGCATATTTGGTGATTGTATCTATCTTTCTATTTCAAATCTTCTGCAATAAATACCCTTATTCACATTTCTGTAATCACTTGTGACATTTTTCCATAACACATACACACACAAGAACATACAGTTTTAAAAATGAAGTACATTCTAATATTAACATCTGATCATTTAAATTAACTTCTTTCTAGAATTATGAAACCTTAAAAAACAATGTTTAAAAGTTGAATAGCATCACTTCTTGAACGTTTTGGCTAACATCAAATGTGAACATCGAGATACTCCACATATATAAGATACAAACATAAAGGTCATTCTTAAGGCAACTTATTGCCAGAAAAAATTTAGATCACATACGATGCATCTATTATTATTAATAGAAATGAAATGACTAATAAGAGAAAAATGTCTTTACATTTTTTAATGGGAAGAATATTCTTTTTAATTATGTTCTAAGATATTACAGAGCTAGAAATTAACAAATTTCAGTCAGTATAAAATAGATTTATTGTCAATAGTCAGTAATTAACACAACCCAGGTAAATGAAACATCACTTCACACAAGGCTCAGATACTCTAAAATGCTATCTTAACTTCACACGTGTAGTATAAAATGATAAATACTTAAAAATTACAATGCAAGAAAAAATATTACAAAAAATACAATTGTAATAGACCCTTGTATGAAAGTTCTTTAGTTTTAGAGTTCTGCCCTAGGGAATTAACATGCTACATATGCGAATCCAAAATAACTGTTCCTTGAGGTTACAATACTCAAAATACCACATCTGACAAGAACAAAAAGTGAGACAAAGAAAGCCTTCAATGATGCTGGGTGTGGGGACGGTGAGGGAAGAAGGGAAGGATGTAACCAATTATTCTATGTTGATTTCTGCTGGAATGGCCTCATGAAACAATTTATAGCACTGACAAGAGGACTATAGAAGAAAGGAGAAAAAACCAGGACCAGTCCCACCTCCACGTAAAGGATTTCCAAATCAGATCAAACTCAGGCAGTTCTAAGGCACTATTCCCAATGCTCTCCACTCTTTAATCCCTTATATGGACTTCTTATTCTATGTCTATGTTTTTTCTAATTTCTTCATAAGGGTTTAGCAAGCATACTTTCTGTTTTCTATCACGCGAAGTCCAAACGAAAAAGGATGAAACAAAACAACAGAATCTACCAGTTGGGTCAGTTTTAAAGACACAAATTCTGGTTCAAACATGAGACTCAGGCATATCCATCCCTGGTCCACGCACACTCCGATCTCCCCTTACAAATTGACCTCCAACCTCAATTTTGAGCAAATACTCAAATTTTGAGGAAGTTTTAGAAGTTTTTTTTCCTGTTGGCAAGTTGCTTTGGCTGGCAGCAATATAAGGAATTATTCGGAATGCTTGGTTAGAGCTGATAAAAAAGGATGTGATCAGTGAATTATTGTAATCTATCGTAGTAGGCTTCTGCAGGCAGACAGGAAGAATTTACACTATGGACTTTCCTCACTCATTTCAGAAGAGAGAGAAATGTCTTTAAAAGGAAAGGAAAAGATTAGATAAGGAAATACAGTAAAATATTAATACTGTAGTAATAGAAGGGAAGGGAATGCTTATAGCCAACCTACCTTACCTTGCTGGAAAGTTTCTGACATAGAAATTAAACTTTCTCTCCATTATTCTTTGCACAAAGTTACAGGTGCTTTACATCAAGAATGACAGAAAGCTATTTAAACACTTTGTTTCAAAGGTGGGGAATTTCATTTTGAAATGAGCATTAGAGAAAGAAGGAAAAGGTAGAGATAGCTCACTCAAAAAGGTCCTCAAACATGCGTTGTCCCATTGCTATGTATGCTTCCTTTTCTTCTGGTGTCATCTGGGCCACCAGCTCTGGCCGTTGGCTCACTTCACTGTAGGAGAATGGACGGCCAGCCACCATGACAGTGGGGTCATCTGCTACTTCTTCAAACTCATCGTCATCCTCCTCATCCTCTTCCCGATGATGCGTAGCCACAGCTGCTGGACGGGGTGGAGAATCTTCATCTGACTCACTGGTCTCACTCTCTGAGTCACTGCCATTGGCGGTGGTCACAGGAGCGGCCGCCCCCACTGAAGCAGCTGCGGCAGAAGGAGTCTTCTTCTCATGAATAAGCAGCGCTCGCATGACCTCCTCATTATCATCCGGCCCTGCACGGCCTTCCTCACGCTCCTGAAATGCATCCATATCTATGCCACCTGGGGAGTAAAACTCAGAAAGTCAGGATCCTTAAATATAAATGGTATTCCTTTATAACTAATAAAATAGGATTTTAATATATTTAAATATATAATAATCTAATAAAATAACACAGACTTCACTAATTCCATTTTTTGAGATGCTGTCCATAAGATATTCAAATGTTTCTTACAACTGGAGCTTAAATAGCATAATGGTTAAATACATGGGTTTTAAGAGTAATATAGCATGGATTTGAATCCTGGTTCTTCTATATGCAAGCTGTACCAACCATGGGCAAGTAAGTTATCTCTAAACCTCAATACTTTTTTTCTGTAAAATGGGGTTATAAAAGCATCTCTATTCTAAGGCTTTGGATAAGAACATAAGAAATAATGTCTATAAAGGACTAAGTACAGTAGCTTGTATAATAGTAAATCAAAACATGGCTCCTCATCTTGCTCAGAGTAAAACCCAAAGGCTTTACAGTGGCCTATAAGGTCCTACACATCATCGGGAACCCTTCCTGACTACCTACCTCTTACTTCTTGCTCATTCTGCTCCAGCCACAGTGGCCTCTGTGGACTCCTACTTCACAGCCTTTATATGGTCTGTTCCCTCTGACTGGAATATTTTTCCTCTAGGTATCCATACAGCTCTGGCCATTGGCCAGTATCTCTTATTAGGAGTTCTACACTTTCCAAAATGTCCAGGGTTACAGCTAATTCATTCTAATGTACTAATGTCTTCTACTTCTCATGTTTTTACTCAAATGTTGCCTTCTTTTAATTCACCCCATCCTTACATTTCCAGTGGCTCTATTTTTTTTTCCCCATAGCACTTAATTTCTAACATAATAAATAACTTATGTCCACTGTTTTTGTAACCCTCTTTCCAAGGATGTAGGTTCTACCACAACATACATTAATGTTTTTTGTTGTTGTTGTTTTTTTTTGAGACAGAGTCTCACTCTGTTGCCCAGGCTAGAGTGCCCATGGCGTCAGCCTAGCTCACAGCAATCTCAAACTCCTGGGCTCAAGCAATCCTTCTGCCTCAGCCTCCCAAGTAGCTGGGACTACAGGCATGCACCACCATGCTCGGCTAATTTTTTTTTCCTATATGTTTTTAGTTGGGCAATTAATTTCTTTCTATTTTTAGTAGAGACAGGGTCTTGCTCTTGTTCAGGCTGGTCTCGAACTCCTGACCTTGAGCGATCCACCCGCCTCGGCCTCCCAGAGCTCTAGGATTATAGGCTTGAGCCACTACGCCTGGCCTATTTATCTTTGTTTTATTTACTGATATTATCCCATGTACCTAGAGAGTACCTGCCACTAAATATTTGATGACTGAGTGAATAAACAGCAGTTTTATTTTCCTAAAGCAAACTAAGCATATGAACTCTTTATAAAAAAGGAATCTAAATTTAGGAGTAAAATTTCTCTCACCTCACCACACACCTATCATTTTGTGTACACATCTTCTGTGATACATTGCACATAAAATAGAAGACAGCTGTATTCTGCATTGTGATAATACTACCAAACATACTGCCATCTAAAACATATAAAAGGATTAAAAGTATTGTTTGAAACCTGTCTCCTCACTTTCAACTCTAACACTTATTAGCTGTGTGACTTTGGCCAAGTTACTTCATCTCTCTCTAATTTTCTCAAGTACAGAAAGGGAAAAAAAAATGAGAGTATTTACATCACTGGATTACTGTGGGGATTAGATGAATTTCTGTGAAGTGCTTAGATTAGTGTTATCATTACCATCGCCAAGAGAAGGCTCAAAAATGGTCAATTCTGACAATGGATGATGTGACAGCATCTTCACATTACAATGGATTAGCTGTAATCCTGGACATTTTGTAAAGTACAGAACTCCTAGAAGAGATACTAGGCAGATAAGAGAAAGGGAAACAGGAATTGACAAGTTAAAGTCAAAAAGGCTTTTGATAACATGGATGTCAAAATGAGAGTTAAAAATCAAACTTAACTACTTCAAAACATTGCCAAAGGCTGAACTTCCTCCCTAGAGCTCTTACTGCCAATGTAATATTTCAATAATAACAAAAAAGGAAAGAAATGCATGCAAGTGTCTAAGACAACAATTGCTTACAAAAGAATGCTCCAAATAGGTTAATACTACCAATATAGTATTTTCAGCAATGTTTAAAATAAATATAAAATTAGGGGAAAAGTAAATTAGTTTCATAAACTAAGTTACATCTAACAGATTTCTGACAGAACAAAGGAATTGTTTTGTTATGGATGAAGAGAGAAAACAAAAAACAAGCACAAATGAGCAAATCTCTGGATGGTAAAGTAGCAATAGTAGTTCTAGGAAGAGTCTTATTTAATAGAGTTATAAATTACAAAGAAGATGTATACTATGAAACTATCAAGTTCACTGATTATGCTAAGCAATTCTGAGTGCTTAAAGGCCAAGCTGCAACAAAAAACATAGGAAGAGCTGAAGGATGTATAAGTGGGCAGAAAGGTAGTAGATCTATTTCTATACTGGCAAGTGTAAGAAAATCTGCCTATAGAAAAATATTCTAAAATATACTGAAAGATATTTATTCAACCTATTGGATTCAAGGCAGGAGAGGGTCCTAACAAGTACCTGTACATGTTTCTAAAGTTGTAGGTTCTAATATGCTTCAAAATCAAAGCAACAAGCAAAATGTCTGGTGAAAACCAAAAGATACTAGAAATAAAACTCAAAAAATTAATGATGAATCCATGCATGAACAATACGTATTGTTCTGGTCACTGGTCCCAAAGTATATTACAATTGGAAATGGTCCAGAGAAAGAATTAAAATCAACAAAAACTGTAGGTAGAGGTGGTGGTGGGAAAGAGGACTATTTACAAGGAAAGCAGGTTCAAAAGGAATTAGAACTTTCATTATATTTATGAGGATATGATTGAAAGTCTATAAAATGCTAAAAGATATCAACATGATGAAGTTGGAGGAAAATTACTATAGGACAAATAAGACTCACTTCATAGTTTCACTGGATAAAGCCTATTCTACTATCATGAAACTTTTTACAAAGATAAACTTAGACATGACAACATACTATCCTATTTTATATAAAAAGAAATATTCACAAAACTTAATGAAGTAGACTAGATGGCTTCTTTAAGACCCACATGATTCAAATTCTATCATTCTAGGAATTGTAAACATAGTATGTTGGTTAATAAGTTTTATTTTCTTCAATTTTGTTTCTAAGTTCAAAGAAAAGAAAGTTTGGTTGCCTCAAAAACAAGCAAAAAGCCAAGCTGGGGAAAATAAATCTATTAAATAATTGTACAGTCTAACCACTATATAATCTAAAACAACTTGAATCAAAATAACTAAACATAGCAAGCTAATCAGAGGAGGAAAGAGAGTAAAGTACTGTTGCCAAGGAAAACTTTTTTCTTATTGGAATTTAAATATCTAAGAGAATCACAGTAGAGGTACTACCTGCTTTTACCATCACTACCCAACTCCACAGTACTTTTACAATTTCTAGTATAAATGGTGAATGCTAATTATGAAGGAAAAAGAAGTTAGGAGATAGCTCAAAAGACAAGTGTTTTTCAGTTACTTATGATTCTTTAGCATTAAAGAACCATACTCTCAGGTGATAAGTTAGCAATCGTATATAATAAACCTGAAAATAGCAGCATGTAAATTCACATGCTGATGAAATCTAACCAGAGATACAGACTCCCATTCTCCTCTGCTTTTCAGTTTGAGTCACCTTTGTCCAGTATCAGCCTCCCACTTTCTACATATTCCTAAATCATCACCACCCAAAGTCTTGAATCCAGTAACTTAAACTAATCTTCTTGGACTGTGAGAATGCTCAATTCTTTACACATGTGGTACATATCTGAATATATTTCAGGCAGCACAAATTCCTTGGTGTTTATGAAGAGACATCTTAAAAAGTCTGGAGTTTAGTTTTGCCTCCCAGTTCAGAAAAATAAAACACATATAAATTAGGGCAATAAAGGATTGCAGAAGAGGTGAATATGGCCACCTTGAACACAATAGCACTTTTCCAAGAAATTAAGATGAAGAGATGGCAATTTTTCAAATCTAAAAATAGAGATTCAGGCTGGGCACAGTGGCTTATGCCTGTAATCCTAGCACTCTGGGAGCCCTAGGCAGGAGGATCCTTTGAGCCCAGGAGTTTTAGATTGCCAGTGAGCTATGATGATGCCACTGAACTCCAACTGGGGTAACAGACTGAGACTCTGTCTCAGAAACAATAAATAAATAAAATAAAAACAGATTTAAAAAGCTATTTGTTATTTCCACTAAGCTGAAGAACAGTACAAGTATATGGGTTGTTTTTTATAATTACTGCTCAATTTCTTACTTCTCGATATAATGCAATTAATTGTTTTTTAAAACAAGTACAGTGGATTATCAATAAAATTAAGAACTGGTCAGTTTCCCTCTAAGCCGAGTTATACTGAACGCAAGACATATCCATTTTACTGACTACTTCTATTCTTACCTTCTTTCATCTCTTCAGAACTATACGCCCCTTGGACAGTGCTCTCTCTCAACCAAATGGGCCTCTCTTTGGCAGATTTCCCCTCCAGTGAGGCTCGATGAAGATCTTCCTGGTCATCCATGTTAATGACAACATTCTGAGTGTACAAGTCCTCATAAGAGGGGCCTTTGGTGGTCCATGCTTCCCGGTGGTGCCCACCTGCCAGGCCAGCAGCTCCAGCAGTAGGTGCTGCACGGTCCTTGCTACATAGAAAGATTAGAGGAGGATAGGAAAAAGAAAAATTAAAGTCTTGATGTTAGAAAAGAAGGACTGGGTGATTACTGACATATTATTTAAAAACAATGCTATCTAACAATCATGCACACATGTTTTAATAATTCTAAGAAACCTCTTCTATATCTCAGGGTGAAAGCTGCATGGGTTAGAACAACACATCATATTTACATTTAAGTTCCTTAAGCACTGGATCCTCTGGTGCAGTGGTCTCCAACCTTTTTGGCACCAGGGACTGGTTTAATGGAAGGCAATTTTTACACAGTCTAGTTAGGGGTAAGGGTGAAGCTCGGGTGGTGATGTCAGTGATGAGGAGTAACTGTAACAGATGAAGCTTCGCTGCCTTGCCCACTGCGCATCTCCTGCTGTGCACCCCCCTCCCACGTTTCATGGAAGACAATTTTTCCGAAGCAGGTGGGAGGGTACAGAGTTCTGTGGCCCAGTCCACAGCCCTGGGGGGTTGGTGACCGCAGCTCTGGTGTACATAAATGACTGAGGTTTTATAGAGTAAGGTGTTTCCATAAATCTACTTGCAGGGGGAGAATGATATGGTGACATAATCCACTTAGAAACACTAGGTCTGGCAAAAATCTTTCCCAGTAATACTGTTCATGAGTATTTTGTTTAAGAAACAAAATAAAACTGTTGTATTATTAATAGAGATATTCTCTCAGCCCAACCTACAATAATTCAAAGTGGTTCTGTATGCCTTTTCCTTTCATTTGGGTGCTGACCATGGATGGAAAAAGCTTGAGAATTAAGTTCTCTTGCCACTCACCGAGTAAGGCATACCCTTCTGCATGGACTAGCCTCTTTTCTATTGAGCTGTATCTTTCTGTCTCCACATCTATCCTGACATCCCTACCCTGCACTGTGATCTGTTTCTCAGACTATTTTGTTTTACTTTTTACTTCTACTACCCATGATCTTCTTTCCTGTTAGCCTGTTTAGTCACTTATGCTCCCCCATCTCTATGAGTCAGGCCATTTCAGTCTTTCCACTGCTTGTTTCACTCTCATTCTGCTCCAAATTTTTTTGAATATGCCTGATTCTGTGTCTGAGCTCATACCTTGTCTTGCTCTGCCTGCTACTGATGCTTTCTGCTTCAACTTCTATGCATGACTCTCCCTCCCTCTCTGTTCAGACATCTGTCTTTTATCTCATAAACTATCTTCATGTTTCTTGAACTACCTGCTCACCCCATACCTTTTGCTGTGTTCCCTTCAGCATCCCCTGACTCTCTTAGCCTCATGTTTCTCTTTTACTTCTCCATTTTTCTCTCAATCTTTTCCACAGATCCTGGACCGTCTCCTGTGTGAAGCCCTGTCTCATTCTGAATCTAACTAATACTTTGTCTTCTCTCTTCCCTACGTCATTTACTATTTTGCTCTTACTTTTGCCTTACCTCATTCATCTTGGTTTACTCTGTTGCTCTTCACTTTTTTCTGGGCCCACTTCATATCTATCGGGGCTTTCTTGCTGATGCTTAATTGAGGTTTCTCTGATGTAAACCTCTGTCTGTGTATGTGATTGGCCCATTACATCTGTCCCTAACAACGCTGTGTTTCTGACCATCTTCTGGAGATAACCTTGGCTCATCCCATCCCTCCCCACCCTGCCTCTGGAAACCTACAGGGCCACTGGTTACTTTTGCAATTAAAAAAATACGCTCTTTCCAGTTGGCCAATCCACACTGATCCAGTCATTTAATCCATGCCTTCCAGCTACTGCCTCTGCATTCTTTTCATTATTCTAGCTCTGTACCCAGGACTACTTTGTAAAGCACTTTCCTACATCCCTTCCTTCTGATGCTTGTTCTGTTCCATGTATCAATCACTTCTTTTGTCTCATTTGCTCTCCACTCTAAGTCTAAGCCTATGAGGCATCTAAATATTACCAATCCATCTATTTGTCTTGCTATATTTTGAAGTCTTATGCTACAGTCACAAATAATTGGTTTCTCTCTAACTTCTATTTTTTTCTGCATCCATCTGATGTTACTTTTTGCACCACTACCTTTTTGTCTAATATAACTGTATCTGTCCCTATTCATTCTCTATCTTCTACCTGTTCCCATGTTGTTTTCTAAGAGGCTGTGTGGCTGCTTTCACTGCAATCTGACTCTGCTTACTTTGTGTAGGTTGGCTTTTTGAATCTTGGTGTCCCTCAGCATTCACTTTTTTCTCTTATCTCTTGGCCTTTTCTAGTTTTATGTGTGCCTGTGCTTATTCTACATTCTAAGCCTCTCCTCCCTCACCCATTTCTCTCCCTTACTCCTTTCCATGCTCCTTCTATCCTCAGCCAACATCCTTATCGTGCTGTGCTGAGCCTGATCTACACACCAGTCTATCCCAAAATGTGTCTCCCTGAGTTAGCTCACCACACCTGGGAGACACAGAAAAGGTAATTTCTCTAGCTCTGATCTAGCCAACTACATCCTTACCTGTCTTTCCTTCATCCAGACTCTTAAGTGACTCACTCAATCTTTCTGAGGCTATTCTGTTTCTCTCTATATATAATCTGAACACATAGTTTTCCTCTATCCTCTATCTTTAGCGTTAACTCTGAAGACTGTCTCATGAAGGTACAAAGTACTTTGAGTAGAGAAAAACAAGAAAACTAGAGAGAAAGAACAAAACAATTAAAATAAAAGTTAATATAAGACTACTTTTTAAAGTCTTTTGTTTTTAGTATTCTGTTATAGAAATTCAAGATGGGTTTTATTCTAGCTTAAGGCAGGAAACATTTGATCACAAATCAAACAAATTTTAAAATTTGGAACAATTTTTATTGGGGTGAGGAACAATTTTTAAAACATATTTTTAACCACAGATGGTCGACTCCATAGATTTTTATTTCTACCTTCAAGACAGATACAGACAAATCTAAATCGCTAGCCAATGTGACATTAAAGAAATCTACATGAGAGATAGCTAGATTCACTCCTTCTGATATTTTAATTTCTTCTACAGAGAGAATGTACAGATTTTAATTGACGATGACAAAAATGGCAATTTATGTTTGAATCTTTTTACATTATTTAAGAAATTTTAGAACTTTTAAAAGGTATAACTCTTACTCAGAGGTGAGAGAGGAATATTATTTCAAAACTAAATTTTTAAAGATCTTTAAGGTGAGTGTTAAGAGACGATGGAAAAGGGTAGGTTACGGGCAAGGAATTCCATTTCTGAAAAACAGGTGAAAGGGGTGGCCTTGCAAAAATAACAGGAAAATACCTAATCCCACAATTTCCCCAGTAACAGTTAAAGAGTAATCCTATGAGTTATCTCACTAACAAGCACCCTGCAGGAGTTCTATTTTGCACAACTTCTGAAATGAGCTGAACAGACAGAAAAGAGATGTAAATCTCTCTTTCAAAACTGTTTTTTTTTTTTTTTTGAGAATCTGCTTTTACAGAATTCCTGAGTAAACAGCAGGAGAACAAGCTACAGACTCAACTATATCTTGAGGGCAGAGTCACATCTCCTGCTATAATCCTGATAATCCTGTCTCCAAGGAAAGGCAGGGAAGCCAACTCTTGGACTTTGACATCCTGCCACTTTTGTTATCAACTGACAGCCATCACCTTTTTTTTTCTTCATATTCCTTAATATCACCCAGTGGCCTCGGTGCTGCAACCCCTTTCTCTTTCTTTGGGATGTCATGCCATCTTCCTGTTCTCCCCCGCTTCCCCTTTCTCTTTCACTCTCTCTACCCTAAGAAGATAAACTTTTTTACTTTTATATATCCTAATCTCTGCGTGAGAAATCTTTCTCTCCCCATGCCATGAGCACCTAGTGAGCTTTCCACTCTAACACTCTATATATCACCAATGGATTGACTTGCTAAAAGGCTGGCACTGACCATCAACTCTTGGGTTAGGCCTACTGACAGTTCTGTAGAGGCAGTCTGGTTCCTGATCTAAGCATAAGATGGAATTTAACTGATTATAGATCAGTAACCAAAATAACAATGATACCACTTAGTTTAATAAACAACAACAAAAAACACCGAACTATCATCCCTGCACTCCCATACCACTCTCCCAATGCTTCTTTTCTGTACTGAGGCAGGAACAACTATTAAATCCTTGGACAGGATTGGCTATTATAGAACTTTATGCTCCTATAGTATAGAAAGGCCAAATCAATACCACTCGCAGAATGTTATATCTGGGCAGTGGAGCTTGTCAAATGCTTGATAACACCATCTTAGGCAGGGTAATATTGTCTAACCTAGCTCCAATGATTTTTCCGCTGACCACATAGAAACAACTCTACTTCGTTCTAGATGGCAGCTTCAGGAACCCCATTCTGTCTTTCTTTACTGCCTCTTCTTCCTTAGTAGCTGGGCTGTTGGGTATATTTTTTCCTGATCAGTTTATTTATACTACTTCCTGATTCTTCTTCATCCCTGGAGTCACCATCATTCCATGAAAAGAATGTGACTCGACACAGCAAGCTGCTGTAGGGCCTCAGATGTAAATATACCACTAAGACCTGTTTCAGGCACAGAGTGAGGGATATCTAAATAAAAATCCTGGAATGGAAGTTGCACTGTGGTAGGTGGGGAACATTAGAGGCAGGATGCCTGTGGTGGTGGTGACCGAATGCTACTGTAGTGGAGAAGCATCTTGATAAACAGGACAAATAACTATAGGTAGAAAAGGAAATACAAGAATAATCAGATAGTATTATATTATGTAGAAAGCAACCAGAGAGTATGCTGAATCATACTTCAGCATGACATAATCCATAAGCTTAGAGAATTATGTATTTTTATAAAATTAATTTCCCACATAGGCTTCTGTGTTAGAGCCACAGAATAATTTAAGTGGACAGAAACAGACATAAAAAAAAACATATTCTTCTAAGGAGACCAAATAACCATTAACAAAAACATAAGCCTATTTATGATATGAATGATATTAGTTCCCTACCAACTGTGGCTCCTTTCCTTCTTTGCTTACTGGTTTTATTCAAATACTGATGCCTATTTGCTCCAAAGAACTTTGAGACCTTCTCTAGCCCAAGGATGTAAATCTTTATTAGTCTAAGAACTAATTATGTGATCCCAATTCCTTTGCCAGATGCTGGTTTAGAAATAAGCATATAAAACAATTCTAGCCAGTGAGACTATGGGGGATAGATAGAACAAAGGAGGCCCTATGGGAAAGCTTTCTCCAGTCTCAAAATAGGACACAAGGAAGGGATGATCTCTTTTTGCATTTGGACATTTTCATCCACCTTAGGCTATCTGCTCTCATAGTCCCAAGAGGACAACCAACAGGCTGAGTTCAGCAGAGTATAAAGATGGAACAAATCTAGGTCCTTGAGGATATAATTGAGCTGTGAAATTAACCAATTCTGAACTGTACTACCTCAGGATTTATCGTCCTGCAACACAAATTTTCTTACTGTCCATCTACTTATAGATTGGATTCTAGATCCAACTAAAGTTGGATTTTCCATTACCACAGGCAAAGGCAGCCCAACTGACACATGGTGCTAGATGAGAAAACTCATAATCACTTGGACAGATACAAAACTTTCTGTACAACTGGATTGCTTTTGGGTAGAAGAGCATTCCCTGATCCAATTCTCATTTATGCTTTTCTTTATTTTTTTTGAGACAGAGTCTCGCTTTGTTGTCCAGGCTAGAGTGAGTGCCGTTACATCAGCCTAGCTCACAGCAACCTCAATCTCCTAGGCTCAAGCAATCCTACTGCCTCAGCCTCCCAAGTAGCTGGGACTATAGGCATGTACCACCATGCCCGGCTAATTTTTTCTATATATATTAGTTGGCCAATTAATTTCTTTCTATTTACAGTAGAGACAGGGTCTCGCTCTTGCTCAGGCTGGTTTCGAACTCCTGACCTCGAGCAATCTGCCCGCCTCGGCCTCCCAGAGTGTTAGGATTACAGGCGTGAGCCACTGCTCCCAGCCTCATTTATGCTTTTCAAAAAGAATATATAAATCACTTTTTATGGCATGACAAAACTAAAGCTACCCCTAAAATTTAAAGATTAGGGAACACAGATATAATAGGGAGCCACTGTCAGATATTTTAACCCATAAGTAACATCTACTATACTTTCAAGGAATTTGCATTTAAAACTAAGATAGGCAAGAAATTGTGCTTAAAATGTTTCACAAATAAAAAAAGAAAATGCTGAATTCTTTAAAGAACTTCAGCCTTCAGAATTTGGCTAGGAAAATTCAAATATCCCCAAGAGGCACAACTAATTTAGGATTAGCTAACAATTGGCTGGGTTGCTGTGGGTCCAAGCAGAGCACCTGAAGTCAAACCTGACTATTTAGAGATTATTGCCTAAGGCCCACACAGTTCTGCATTCAGAACAATCGAATTTCATCACAGCCACAAGTTAATAATACAAGTATGGCAGAGCTTAGAACCTGTGTCATTATAGTCTTTAGCCTCCTTGTAAATTACTTAACCCACTCCTGCTCTCCAAAGTACAGTTAGTTAAAAACAAGGGCAGGTTTAAAAATGCTCTAAGTAAAAGCACAGAGCCTACACTCACCTCTGTTTCAGGGCTGGGATTTCTGTGGGTTCTGGCTCAAGTATTTCATAGGCCAAGTTTACATCCTCTGTCTCCCGAAGCAGTGCATAAATGGGCTCAATTTGCTCATTAAACCTTGCCAAAAGTGTGCGTGCATCTTTTTTGGGCATTGCTGATTCATCCTCCTCTACCTCTGTATGGCAAAAAGTACAGCGGAAAGTTCCTACAGAGAAAACAAAAGTCTCAGGTCAGGGAGGTGAAATATTTAAGATAGGCGTTTAGTAAACAGTTTATACCTCCAGCCCTCTCCCAACATTCTATTATTAAAACTTTCAAATATACATAACAGTTGAAAAAATTTTGTAGTAAATACCCATGTACCTACCATCCAAATTCTATGATTAACATCTTGCTATGTTTGATTCCTCACATATCCATCCCTCTATCCATCTATCATTTTTGATACATTTCAAAGTATTTTCACCCCTAACTTCAGCACAGCAGTTTTTAATCGCATTTCTAGCATATATTTATTTTAACTTAAAGGCAAATTCTTTATAGCTTACCACTGCAATTTACAGTGGTAAATTTTACCCTTTCTCAATGGCTTTCTTTCATAATTACACATTTGGACCTACATTAACAGAGAAAGCCAAATAAATACCTAAAACCAAAAGTTTCTGATTCTCCTATACATTGTCACAAGGCCATTTCTTCACTTACTCCCATTTATATCTAAAAAAACATAATGAATCCATTTCCAAAATTAAAGTTCAAGAAGCCTTTATTTTTCTTATTTCTATAGTATCTCCCTCACATCCAACTTGTAACTAAATTGTAGCAGTCCCTTAGAAATGTCTCAGATTTTTCATGTCTACTGTCATTTCACTAATCTAGGACACCATTATTTTGACTGAAAGGGCTTCCTAAATGTGGTCTTTGAACCTCCGGGTTCTCCCTCTCCAAGTTTCCTACGCCACCACTTTATCATCTCATCCTCCAACTCTAAAGTCCATGTGGTAGCTGAATTTCTAAAGCCCATAGCATAAAAATCTAAGTTTTTCATCCTAACATTTAAGACCCAGTGTAATTTGGCTCCAAAACATCATAACCCAACCCAAGTCCTTTACCTGTCAAGGTAACACAAACATTTGAGAGACTATATACTAAACTTTAAATATTTACTTTATTTGTATAGTGCTTTCGCTTTCTAAAATGCTTTACATACACTTTTTGATACTTATACCAATCCTATAAAGTGTTGTCAGAACTGAGGCTCTAAAGAGTTTTGTGATTTGTCCAAAGTCACATAGCTAATGAAAGAAAGTAACAGTATCTATTTTATATTGAGTGCTTACTAAGTGCCAGGTATCACCAACCCTCTGAAGCTATTAACTATTTAGATCTGTAAAATACAAAGGTTCTAAAGGGTTAAATAACTTGCTCAAGATCAGACAACTATTAGCAGAGGGAAGGGGACAGGATTCAAATCAATCCAAAATATTATGCTAAAACTCACCCTCTTAAACATTACTTAACAGTCTACAACAAGAGTCACACTTGGATTTCCAGTTTGGTTCTTATTCCCAATGGTAGGGATAAGCATCCTTCCTTTCTGACCCAATTTACTTGAGAGATTAAAAGAGATCATTAAGTAAATACAAGCACTTAGTGCCTGGCACATATTAAGTACTCAAACATTATAGCTTTAAAAGGCCCCATATATGATCAATACATAACCCCACCACCAGCCTTTCCTCACCCGGTAAAGAATAAACAACCTAGGCATCTCTGTTTCAATGTAACACAAGATTCAACTGATATATTCCCAGTAGAATAAGCTTCTTTACTGCCCCCTCAGAAATAGCCAACAGCATGTAAATTCTTCGTTCAAACAACCTGTCCAAAATACATTTTCCTGCTGTCCAAATGCTACTTAATCTGAGAGAGAGAGAGAGAGAGAGAGAGGCAGCCCTGCACAGCTAGGAGGCGGCCTAGCACTCATAGCTAGGCTGTGGCATTTTCTGTGGAACAGATTCTCACAGATCACCAACATCAGATAAGGTCCTCCATGACCATGATGGAAGCGAGACAAAACATAGCCACTGTGGAATCACCTCTGACAACAGACAAAAGCAAGGACTCCATACAAACTACAAAAAAGCCCAGCTAGCATAAGTGACTGCTGCTTCTTTATCAATTAGTTTTAGCCTGGCTCTGTTCTTCTCACTTCTTAGATAAGATTTATTAAGATAGCCAGTCCAGGCTGGGTGGTGGCTCACGCCTGTAATCTTAGCACTCTGGGAGACCCAGGTGGGTGGATCATTTGAGCTCAGAAGTTTGAGAGCAGCCGGAGCAAGAGCGAGACCCTGTCTCTACTAAAAAAATAGAAAGAAATTAGTTACACAACTAAAAATATATATAAAAAATTAGCCGGGCATGGTGGCACATGCCTATAGTCCCAGCTACTCAGGAGGCTGAGGGAGAAGGATCACGTGAGCCCAGGAGTTTGACGTTGCTGTGAGCTAGGCTGAAACCACGGCACTCCAGTGCAGGCAACAGAGCGAGACTCCGTCTCAAAAAAAAAAAAAAGAAAAATAGCCAGTCAAGAATTATCCCCACTTCTTCATAGCACCCAATCCAGAGCAAACATTCACCACTTCCTTGATTCCTCTCCAAAATTACCCAATGAAAGCCCAAATTCTCTAGGTTTGTCCAGCACTGTCTTACTAATATCCCATGGTTCCCCATGGTATGTAGCTTTCCTTGCTGCAGAAATGATCAATAGACCTACCTTTGTTTACAGTAGGTGTGTACCTGATGGTCTTTGACTAATGGACATAAACATAAAGATCCTAGCTTAACCAACTGGACAAGAACACCATTTACCATAATAAACAAAGAAAACGTTCATTTTTCTTTGTAGGCAGGATATTAAATTTCTTTAAAGATCAAAGTGGATATATTAAAAACCAACTTATTACATACAGCTTAGAGCTGAAGAGAAGGGTTTAGACTAGAAATTCTGATATGAGAATCAACAATATATAGGTGGCAACTGAAGCCATAAAGTAGACCAGAGTATCCAAGATTAAGGAGAGTGAGAAGAATAAACATCAAGGTATAAACCCAAAGGCGGCAGATTCCTTAAGAAACAGAAATGGTACAACCAGCAGGACACGGCAATGTTTCAAGGAAATGGTACAGTGCTAATATTTCAAGGTCAACAGGAACTGAAAACCAGCTTTTATATTTGGTAATAACAAAGGGTAAGTAGTGACCTTGGCTAGAAAGGTTTTAGATGGTATGCTATGTTAGATTATTCTCTAACTGTTCCAAACTGTCTCAGTATCTTCAACAAACAAAGAATATAATCCATGCAGGAGTTAAAAAATACACTACATAAAACCGGGTCTAATATAGCTCTCAAATATCTGCTAAATTAGAAAAACACACTGATGTGGAATTAAAGTTGTCTGTTAAAAGACAAGCACTATAGGACAAACTAGGATGGAAAGCAATGAGTAAAGAAAAAAAAAAAAAAAGACAGGCACTTACAGAGACTGTCAATGAGAACTGAGAATACTTTAGAAGTTACCTAGTTCGGTACCTTTCAAATGTTTTTTAAATGAAGGTAAATGACTCCTCAAGTGACAAAGTGCCTAATATAGAAACATAAAAGCAAGTGCTCTGGTAGAAAAGGTCAGTACTCTAACCCTCTCATTAGTGTCTTCAAAGCATCACAAGCCAGCCTTCTCAATGTTTCCCATCAGGCACACTTCAACGACGACGCAGAGCCTTGGCACTGCCGTTCGTTCCCTCTGCCCAGAATGCTTTCCCTCCAGACAGTCAACTGGCTAATCTCCCAGCTTACTTCAGTTCTTTACTCAAAAGTCACCTCAGTAAGGCCTTCCCTAGCCCACATTATCCAAAATTTCAACATTGTCCTGTCTACCTCAACAATCCTATTCTCTTTCCTTAACATTGTCACTATCCAACATACTATCTTATTATTTATCTAGTTTATTTATCATTAAAAATTCAAGTTATATCCAAATTCTTAAAAAATGTCCTCCCAAATCATCCATTTCTTCTTTAAAGACAATATATATACTGCTTCACTTGACCAGTAAAAAGAAAAAAAAAAGACAATATATATTCCAAATTTCAGCTTTAATAAACAAATTGACATGCTTGTCTATGTAGCTTATCCCCATAAACAGCTATGCTTTTATTTTGGGAAAAGAGACAGAACACTGTTAACACCATTATTTCAGAGAAGGGCAATCTCATAATGACAGTCCTTTAACTTAAGTAAATTTATTTTCATGAAAAAGAATAGGGAGAAAATGAACATAGTATATAGTTAGTCATAAGGAACTTGAATTCTAGTCTCATCCAGATTTAACAAGAACTACTTATTGAAGTGCCCATTTTGCAGGTCTGAAAAGAGCAGCTTTTAAATTACTATCAAGAACCAAAGGGTCTGAGATTTTACCCTAATTTCAAGCTAACAAATTATTCTGCCACTGTGAATGCTGGCAGAAGACACGAGACTCCTAGTTCAGAGACAAAGAACTTTATTACTCATGGCAATAGCAGTAGTCAGTGCCAGTATTTGAGCCAGTTCCCTGAGTCCCAATTTCCATGGGGGTGACACAAGAGGGCCAGTGACAACTGTTCATACAATGGGCTGTATTAAAAGAAAGAAAGCCTCAGCTTAAAAGGAATTCAAATCTTTTATAATGGGCATATAAGCATGCCCATCCTTTGCTCTGGAGGGTGACATTATCTTTACTATACCAGACTTAAGTAAATAGGCTCTAGAAGGATAAACTATTTTTATTATAGTGGACAGTAAGCAAATCTGCTCTTTGCTCTCAAGAGAAATAATATCTCTATCTTTTAAGACTGCTTGCTATACAAACATCCTTGAAAAAGTCCAGAAAAAAGGCAGTCAGTCAGTAGCCTTGCTTGCAAGACATGCATAACATGTGAGAGACCCATGGAGAAGAGTCTCTCAATGATTACCACGTCTGGCAAACATTACAAAACGAAAAGTTAGGTTTACATCTCTGATTCCTACGTTTATCACAAAAACACAAGTTGCAAATGAGAAGAAGCAGCATGTCAAAAGCCAAATGTAGAATTTATTTTTCTTCTTGGACTCTAATCCAAGAAGAAAAAGGAACTTGACATTTTATAGAAAATTATTTAAGACTA